TCACTGCTGGGAGAGAAACTCCCAGAAAGCCTAAATTTCTGCCAACAGTTAGGCAGAAAAAAACCCGTCAACGATAGCAGACTTGTAAACTGGGCCATTAAAAAGTAGCTACTGTGTACAATTACACAGTTAAAACTGGGGAGGTCAAAGGCCAGTCTCAAAAACAAACTGGCCATCCATCTACATAGACCACCAGTTCTCCAAGAAGAAACCACCTAAACACGAGCTCCATAACATAGAGCTGGGAGCATCAGGCAAGCCAGCTGACATGGAACAGTCTGGGAAGGTTGAGTACAGGTTGTGACGCAAACTCAGTTTTTCAGCAGATGCTGAGCTCTGTTCTTCTAAGCAGGACACCAGGAAAGAAATTGGGTAGCAAAGATAATTGTAGGACCAGCTGGTTTGTCAGCTGCCTTCCAAAAAGTGTGAAAAGAAGAACCTGTGCCTTGACCTTGAGTATTTTTGTGAGGAATCAAGAAAACTTGTCAGAAAGTATTTTACATCTAGTTGCCTCCTTTGAAAAGTAACTAATTCATCCCTTAAATATATAAATACAACATGGATATGGGAAATAAATAGATAAATGATATAATATTTAAAAGTCTTTCAGTCTGCATTTGAGACATGTACGCATGTTCTAGTGAACCGCAGATATCCATACAAGAAATGGTCAATGAACTGAAACATGGCTTAAGTTTCTTAGATGTCTTTCAAAGGTCTCTAACAAGACTGACGGCTGGAAAATGTGCTGCAAAATTCCTAGCTTCTGTACTGTCTCAGTCTGAATATTTTCACATTGATATATTCAATGCATTTCCTGGAAAGCGCAAAAAAGCGGTCAGGAACTGTACGGCTCTGGTGATTACCTTAACCGGGATTTCACTTTTAGGGATACTATTTTCTGCTAGGGATACTATTAGTCTTCTACCTCAGCTCAGCAGCACAGGAATGCGTGCTGTTCTCTTCTCTATACAAGGTCTTCTCTGATCTGATTGTCATGCACCTCTTGCAAACAATGTGGTTACACACATGCATATAACAGATAGCATATAATAGTCACTGAGCCAAATTCCTTATGTGTGTTTTAAATAATATATGCATGAGTTATTTATAAATTATCTTGTACATGTTTGAAAGGTTCCAGAGGCTTTCAGGAAAGTAAATGTGTGTGGGATGGAAATTAACATGTGAGAGATTTATCATTTATGTCTTTGCAAGATTTTTAGAAATAGAAAATCAGTATTTAAATCTCAGAGATCTAAAAGAAAAAGAAAAAAAATCTTACAAACAAATGTTATTTAAAAAGAAATGAATTTTTTTAAACATATGTAGGAAAACAACGTTTTCAATATGTTGAGGAGTATGTTTTAGCAAATCTTTTGGGATATAAAATTTAAATGATTAGCACGGGTGCTGTTTACATAGGTGTATGTGAATAATGAGGTTGAAAGAAGCTGGGTATTGAAACACATGTAGTCACAAATTAATGTTAGTGTAATTGAACTTTGCCAAAATTTAAAGACTGATGCTAAATCAATATGAAAATGTTATAAAGTTGTTCTCAAGAAAGAAAGAGAGAGAAAGAGAGAAAGAGAGAGAGAGAAAAAGAGAGAAAGAGAAAAAGAAAGAAAGAGAGAAAGAAAAAGCCATAGTTAAGATTGTTTGTAGAGAAACAGAATATGATATGTAAATGAAAGTGATGTCTATGAAAGCTGCATTTTCTGCGTCAAAGTGGGAAATAACCAAACATGTTTGTTAAGTTGGTTTTTTTTTGTATGTGTTATATAGTAATGTATGCAGAAAAATCTTTATCCATTTAGCTGCAAAGACATGACCACTATGCTTCATAGACTCCAGCTGTGCAATAACAGAAAAGCAAAGCTGTAATAAATCCAGCAGATGCCAACAGTTTACACAGAGTTTTGTAACATTTAGTGGAGCCTATAAGTTGGGGTTGCTGAAGTTCTCCATTTCACTGCTTTAAAAAAGAACCCCAAATGTGCTTATATCTTCAGGAAAACTGTTTTAGAAGTTGTTACTTTTTCAGACGCATTATCATTCCAATCAAATGTATTCCTGGTGTTGAAAAGATTACTGTAGATTACCCTGTACATTCTTGGTTTTTGAGGTTTTGAATGCTATTTTTAAGGGTCCCACACAATTTAAGTATTGATTAACTGTGTCTTTTTACCTACCACAGAGGTTAACCAGGGATAAAACTAATCAAAAGAAGGTGTTAAGAAGAAGGTTAGGTAAACTGAGAGCTCACGTAACAACCTAAATGTGAAACCTCAACTTTTGTCCAGATCTCCAGCAAGTGGGCTTAAAAGTTCCTACAGAGATATAATGTAGTAAGTGGTAAGAAAACAAACATACGATCATTTATTACTAATGAGATAACCATCAAGAAGGAACATTGCTTTCATCTCTCATTACTATACACACATACACACACACATATATATACACACACATATATATATATTTGGTCAAGAGGAAATCCATAACATTGTTAATCAAGCCAATAACTTCATTCTTGCTGTTTGAGATAGATGAATCTATATTTAAGCAGAGAAAATGATGGTCTAAAATTTCATGTTCTGTTTAAGCCTTGGTTGTCATTATGTATGGTCTAAGTTCTGGGTAGACTTCTACATACGAGGGGTGGCTTTTTGATCCTTAGCTTTAGTGGCAGGCCCAAGAACAGAAATGATAAAATGAGTAACTCTTGTTTAGTCTTTTAACAAGGTGGGAAGCCGACTATGACAGCACAAATGTGTTGCCCAGCTATAACTGAGCAGACTTATTCTTTACAGGATTCAGTAAGCTTACATCTTTATCATTTTCCAACTGGCTGGGTTATGTGAAATCCTTCACAGAATGGTAGCTCTTTTGTAACATGTTATGAGATACTTTGCTTTCCTCAAAGCATCGATCGCATCCATGCTGGGACTTGGTGCTCAACAAAGAGAACTAAAATGTTAGCTCCTGAAGATATTAAACTCTATTTTTTTTTTTTTAATTTAGTCTAAGGTTAAAAGATCTGTCTTCCTACTTTATCACTAGATATCTAGAAATCCATGTCCTGCTTGATCAACCTCATCTCCTTCTATGACCAGGTAACCCACCTGGTGGAGGAGGGAAAGGCTGTTGATGTAGTCTAACTAGATTTCAGCAAAACCTTTGGCACAGTCTCCCACAGTATTCTCCTGGAGTGGCTGGCAACCATGGCTTGGACAGGTACACTCTTTGCTGGGTAAAAACTGGCTGGACAGCCAGGACCAGAGAGTGGTGGTGAATGAAGTGAAATCCAGCTAGCAACCAGTCATGAGTGGTGTTTCCCAGGGATTGGTACTGAGGCTCATCTACTTTAATATCTTTATTAATGATTTGGATGAGTTAAACCCTCAGTAAATTTACATACGATGCCAAGCTGGAGAAGTGATCTGATAGAGGGTAGGAAGGCCCTGCAGATGTACCTGGACATGTTGGATAGATGGGCAGAGGCCAACAGAATGGGGTACAACATGGCTAAGTGTTGGGTCCTGAACTTTGGTCACTACATTTCCATGCAACACTACAAACTTGTGACAGTGGCTGGAAATGTTCCTGGTGGGGTGGTGGTGGGGCAGATGTTTAAGGAAAGGTTTGATGTGGTACTTAGGGGCATGGTTTAGTGGGTAATATTGGTGGTTGGGTTATGGTTGGACCAGGTGATCTTGGAGGACTTTTCCAACCTTAATGATTCTATAATTTACCCCAGTTTTACGTACAGAAGATCTCACATTATGTGAACCATGAAAAATAAGATAAATGCATTTTTCACATCACCTATATCAAAAACATCAAATATTAAGTGTATTCATTCTCCACATGCCCAACCCCTATGCCATTCAGCTAAGTATTATTACATTGCAATTGTAGTGGCAAGGAGAAACTCATAATTACAAATGATCTCTGAAGTTCTGATTTTTATCAATCCCAAAATGGTTACAAATAGGGCAAAATAATCATTCTTAATGTTAACTTGAACCAACTTTCCACTTTTTTATGGCTGGTCCATTATTATTCCAAAACATTGTCTACTTCTGATTGCAAGAGTAGAACATATATGTTAGTAAATAGCCAGATGAGTATCACTGATGAACTGATAATATCAGACCCCATAGCAGTTGACCTTTTTAAAAAGTGTCACGTAGCCATTAAATAGCCTGGAGAAAGGAACGAAATCACTAGTCTATTGCAAGATGCAGCAATGAATGTGGATTCAATATTACGTGTTACCATTCCTGAGTTTCTGACTTTCAAACACAACCTGAACCACTTCAGACCATTGCTGGAAATGTGAGCAGTCAATAACCACAATATAAAATTAATTTAATCTTTATAGTCAACCACATCCAAATTAAGACTTAATTGATTAGGAAGGGCTGTGCTTAATTGTTTGACAAAGTTAAATAGAATATCACTTTATGGAAAAACTTTTTAAACTGAGAATACATAATGCCAGAGGTGCATAACTAAAGCTATGTCTAATGAATAGATACAGAATGTTCTGTAATAACTCTCAACCAGTGTTAGTGACTGAAGAAATTACCAGAGGTGTATTGGATAGTTTTTAATGTTGCAATTTATTCCCAATGTGCCCCTAAATCAGCAAGGAGTCTTTTACTGGCAGCAAGATTTGGAAATACTTGAATATTTTCTCTGCATTATTAGTAGTTCAGAATGGTTTTATTGTTTCACATGTATGAAAATTTTTCCCATGCTAAATTCTCTTACATAATTTGCTTATATTGCTCATAACAGTCAATAAACATTATCCTCATTAGAATACACATTGTTGCAGTAGATACAATGACACCCACAGTCTTATCAGTACTTTCTTGCATTTGCTATTAAATACTTGATAAGATACAGCTTGTAATCGCTGCTCAATAAATGAATTACAAGGATAAAAGAGCATTAGTTTTGGTCAGCTGATGTTGGTTTGCAATGAGTTAAGTAGGATCATTGTTTCTGGGGCTGTTCATATCCCCAGACTTTTCACAGCCCTGGCAGAGGCTGACTCTGTAATAAGTCTCACATTACACATGGATTAGATTTGTAGAAATCCTGTAACTCAATAGGTACCTGCCTATTCTCTCCTGGCGTCAGGCTGCCTGCACTACTTTGCTCTGTAGACATACCTGGCATTCCACCCGTGCCTCCTCGCTGGCTAAGTGGGCTGGAGCCTGCCTACCAAAACATTGGGGTATTGTTGGGAAGCGGAGACCCCCTTGACAGACGAGCGAAGTGTGAAGGTTAGTCTTGCAATGCCTTATTACCTTCCTATGAAGTATACATGCAGCCCTTTTAAACTTCCTTTACACAACTGTAGTGTGGGAAATCAGATCTGCAGAAACATTTGGGAGTAGCAGGGGGTGGAGATGCACTGTAGACATGGATAAAGCCAGTCCGACCCCGAGCCCTTCCGGCTTCCCCCCAGCTGCCACCATCATGTTTGTTTACACTAATGGAGGAAGACAACAAAAACATATTTGGCAATGCATCAAGAATGTGAAATTACTTGATTTCTGGGAACTTTGCCAGGTATTATAAGCCACTTTGTTTGAACACCCATTCTTCAATTCACTGCATATTATGTGTTAAATAATTAGCGGGTAAATGAATTAAGATTAAAAAATAGTAATAATTGAATAAGATTAACATTAAAATACCCATTTACAAAGTTTAGCACATTTTAAGTGAAATAGCTATCTCACTAATGAAAACTGAATCATGTGATATTTAAATTATAAAGGGAATTTTCTAAATTTGTCATTAGCAGTTTATAGATTATATCTTGCAAATCTTAGTCTTGAAATCAATTCAGTCAAAGCTCACAGTAAAGCTTAGAGAAGCATTATCAGATCAGCCAACCTACTAAGTTTTCATTGTTTTTTTCTATGTATTTTGTGGGGGGATATTTTTTAATGTGTAGTGAAATCTGAGATCCATAACTACTCTTTCCTCCTTTTTCAACAGTTCATCATCTCATCCTGGAAGATAATGAAGACTCCTAGTGATCTCATGAAGATGTGTATGATTCTAACAACCTACTAACAACTTTTAACATTAAATGTTAATAAAGCCTAAAGGTCACATTAATATTAAGAGATCTTATTTCTGTTTTAATGTTGATGAGGTATGTGTGTAACGGATTACCATCACAGAATATGTGATAGCAATAAATATCTGTTTTAGAATTTTGGCAAGTGTTTATACAGAACAATGCTTTGAAGCTCATGGCTATGACTCCAGCATTTAGTGACCTTTTACTTCAGACTTCAGAAAGGATGGTGAAAAGAGGATTGGGGATATACCTATATTTTCTAATGCACTATCCTTAGAACCTTGCTTATTAAGAAAGACTGCAGGCACCTCCTTTCTGAAGCTACAGCATATGTTCTGCCATTCAACTCTACCCTGCTGCCTTGCCATGTGGCAATGCCTTGAAGGGATTCTGCCTGAGTTATGTACCCAAACAGACTCCTTGGGAGGCAATGACTCTGCAGGAAAAGTACTTGCCAGGAATGTTCACTACTGTAGGAATATTTGAGTACGTTGCCTCTGCAGATTTTTACCACAGTCCTCCCAGTGCATTTTGTTGCCCACAAACTCTGTAGAAATAAAGCTTCTCTTTGACTTCATAACACCTAACAAATACAAAATACTTTTAAGCCATGTACTGTGTAGAAGAGCTTTTAACTCGTTATGGATGGCTTCAGATTGAGTTTTACCTATGTGATTTTGAAACAGGCTTTTAGAAATAATAGCTAGGTATAGGAATTATTAGGTAATACAAGTGAATATTTTTCTCTTCATATAATTTTAACTCATATTATTAACCCAGCAAATGAAGTTATGTCTTGAAGTCAGTGAGCTTCAAAGGAAAAAAGCTTCAGTTCATTTTGTTTCACTTTTAATTGCATACACTCTTATAAAAAGAGAGGGAGGGTGGATTTTTTTCTTTTTTTTTTTTTTTTTTCCTCCTGTTTGCTATATCCAGGATATTTCAATTTACACGCTCCTTTTATTACAGTGTTTATAAAATTTCCTTCTACTATAATTCATATAGATCTAGATAAAACAATGTTGTTGGTGACCAATGCAATTAACAAAGCCTGATTTCTCATAGGTTTGTTTCTTTTGTCACATAAATAACTTCACTCCCATCCTCAAACTACAGTAACTCCACACTCTTCCCCAGTCCCGATGATAGTTTCACTCACAAGTAGCCTCTCATGCTACAGAGCTAGTCTTGAGCTTTGTTCAGGCTTATTTGCTGGCCAGGGCTCCTACACCATTTGGACAACAGCCTGCTGACAAGAAGTGTATAATACTTGTCCTTCAGTAGGAGTTCTGAGCTGGATCTCTCCTCTATTTACACTGAATTTCAGGAAATTTACAGAAACAATTTCCCTTAAGTTTTCCACCACTGTTCTAGCTTTTGAATTTGTTTGGATATAGCCAATAACAAAAACATTATTAGGATAGCGCAACCAGAAGGTAAATGACACAACTGTGTAAAACACATATTTGAAGAGGATTAAACTAAAAACTACATATGAAATAGAGAACATCATGCAGTGGTCTCCATCTGAATGATTAACATGAGGGTGTCTAAAATTGCACTGGCTTCAAAGAGTTTTTCTTTCTCATTAGTTCAGTGGCACAATTTTCATGCCAGTTTCCTGCCAAGCAAATTGCAGAGGGTTTGTGTGACTGTATGGGCTTGAGGCTGTGTCTCTGGTGACAAGCTTTCTACAACTCCAATCAGAGCTTTGTATCTTAAAAAAAAAAATAAATAAATAAAAAAATAAAAAAATGCTGCCAATTCAAACAAACATGAAGTGTGTCTTTGACATGAAACCACTGTCTATTAAAATGAGACAAAAATATGACAGTTTCACAGAATAATTCTTTTAGCGCGTCACTTGAGTCAAATTCAAACATAAAATCATGATACCTGAAGGAAACAAACTGTCAAGAGTCTTGTATAAAACCCACTGAGTCTTGTTCTAAACAAGACTAGTACTAATGTAGTTTTCTTGATAGTAAAATGCAAAAATTTTCTGAATTTCTGCAGTGGCATATGAGTACAGGATGAAAAGTCACTTCTTCTATTTCAATGCTTCAGCTGAAATGACTTTGTTACAGTTTATGAATTCCTTTAAATATAAAAAGTCTAGGAACAGATTTTTGAATGAAATATTTTTTCAAGGTTGAATGCCAGCTCTAGCCCAACTCAAATAAGAGAAATTACTTCCCAGCAGTGTGCCAAATTACTTGTTAACTATTTCAGCAACAAGGTATGGTAATTCTTTATACCAGGCTTCTTGTAGCCTTGATAGATGCTTTCACGTCTCCAGTTTCTGAAATCTGCACTATCAGAAGCATTTTTGTGTTACTGACTTCAGTTCAAAGGACAATAACTGATTTAAATGAGTACAGTTGAGTATGTTTTCCGTGCCTGTAGTTTCTATTTCTAGATGTCTAGTCTTCATTAAATGTTTGTTTAAAAGTAATTAGAAAGAAATGTCATTGATAATGGTCCAGATAACACTGCAAGGAGGCTATTATGAGAACCAAGCAGGTAAATTGAAATGACACTGGATTCTGGGTTTCCCCAGAAACCTAAAAAAAACATACTAACTCCAGCCATAAATGTTCTAAATTCTGTACTTTTAAAGGGTTCTTGTGCAGAGATTGAACTAAAATGCATTGAGCCAGTACCAATGATGTCAGAGTCTTGCTTAACAATTCTACAGATGTTTAAATTTTATAAATACCTATTTTTACTATATTTTTCCCTGATTATTTGGCTTCTCATTTGTACATTACTAAGAATCTGTATAAGCAGCTTGATGCTATAGGTTTATCAAGTCCGATCAGGACTAAAACTACAGAGTATTAGATATAAGTCAGAGACCTCCATGTGAGTACCCTTGCATTCCCTTCCCATTTTTATAGCTCATCTCTATGTCAGGGTATTTCAAGTTTGACTTCCCATGGGGAAATCCAGGGCAAATTTTGGCTTCCTGGGTTGTCTCATGTCTCCCAGACAGGAAGAACAGGAACTGTTCTTAGTGTAAATTAGTGTAAGTTACAGCTGATCACCACCCCTCCATCATGAGCCACTGCCTCTCAGCCAATATTGGCATCAAGGAACTGAAGGAAAGATCAAGGAGAAAAAATCTTTTTTTCTTTTTTTCCCTCTTTCTTACTCTTTCCCAGGTTCCAGAATCCTTTCAATGAAGACCACATGACATAAAATAGGATTTTTTCAAGTTATTTCTTAGATCATGTTCCCATATGGGTTTAGTCTCCTTTCTCTCACAGCACATACAACAGATATTGTCAGATTTAAAGTTCAGACAAAAGCAAGTGATGGCTAACATCACTTTTTTTTTTTTTTTTTTTTTTTTTAACCACGGTTTACATAGCAGGAGAGAAACAACAACAACAACAAAAAACCTTTCCAACCCCTCTTGTTGTAAGGCTGAACAGCACAAGCTTTTAACAAGGTTTGAACTGAAAAAGCTCCTTTTTGAACTGATATGCAAGAAAACATGGGAAGAAACTGTCAGTGAAACAAGGAAAAGAACAATACTGTTTGAGGGTTAACAAAAATTTGCAGAGAGAGCTTTTCAGAGAACAGAGAGAAGCAGAGATCTCCTTGAAAGATCTGCAACACTGCCACAGTTGGGGTCTTTCTTGCAAACATTGTCTCACTGAAACTGTGTAGGCAGCTGTCCTTTCATGTGCCACCATATGTCTTTGACCCTGTCATAACTCAAATCATAGTTAATCAGTCTAAATCTGCATGTTAAATTCAAAAGCAAAACACAACAACAAAAATGAGTCAGGAGCAAACACCCTACCACAGTCCCATTTTCATATAGCTTATGTGGAAGGAAAGAAAGTTATTCACAGTATCTAAACACCTGAGTTATTTTTTTTAAGATAGAGGGAATAATAGGCAGCAGAGATGGGTTTTGTGAACCACTTTCTGCACTGAAAGTATCTTTGTTTTTAATGGTGAAGTACTAGACCAGACCTAAAGCCACAAGTGTGGGGGAACTTGTCAGTCTTCAAACCTGTAATGATTTATTTAGTTTTCTTTTTTGTTTGTTTGTTTCTCTGGCCTTCACTCCACTCCTCTTTCATGAGAGCCAACATATGTGAGATATGAATGACCAGGCTGGAACTCTGATGAAAAACAATGTCCAAATCAAATTGATAGTATAGATAAAATTGATATCTAGCTGTTTTCTCCCATATAGAGAGATCTGCAATTACGCATTCTAAGTTTTGAAATTTATCGATTCACAGAGAAGAGATACCTCTTGAGATATCTTAGGGAATCTGAACCCCAGTCTCATCTTGGCTATCAAGTCAGCGCTTTGCATTTCCACATTTCCTCAGCCAGAATGTACTTTTTCCTGTAGCTTCTATTTTCTGAAATGGACATGGCATAACATTCTATTACTGATGAATATTTTATTCATAAAATGGAGCTAAAAACACATTTGTGCCACTCTAGGTCCTGAGAAGTACCTCCATTTACAATTTTTTATTTTATTTTATTTTTTTTCTAATATTGCTGTAAAATCTGAAGGACTCAAGCAAGATTAAAACTTCACTGTTGCAGGCATTGTATACTGAGGTTGTCAAATTCAGTTTCTTCCCTGTAAACATTAAAAAGATATGCAGGAAAACAGAACTACATAAAGGATCTTTCTGGAATTCATAGGAAAAACAAACAAACAAACAAACAAACAACAACAACAGAAAAAACAATTCACACAACAGCAACAAAAACAAACAAAAAAACACCACTTAAAATATAAGTTTGTATAAATAGGTAAACGGACACAGGTTTAAACTCAGATTTCCAGCAATGATTTAGAAAAGAATGGGGAATAACATGAGCAAACGAGGAAAAATAAGGAAAATGTCATAAAAGAGATCATGTTTTATCTTGTTCATAACCTTATTAGTTTATTACACTATAAACTATTTGTCCTATGCATACTTCATATAATCTCTTACTTAATGTTTTGTGACAGCTTTAATATAACAAAATTAGACATGCTGCTGCAGCA